TTGAGTGGGAACGTGGCGTGGCCGCGTAGGGGAGAGGGGTGATGGGCGGATGGGAGAAGGATCAGTTTGTTGATTTTGCCGCAAATGCGGAGTGTATGGAAAGTGCTCGGGAGAGGGATATACTGCAGAGAGCATAGAAGTTTGAAGGGCGGGGGAGGGGGGAGGGGAAAAGAGAACTGGCAATGCATGACTTTTGGATGCTGGATTCGAGACGCGGGGAGGGGGTTGTGATAGGCGGTGAGGGGAGGGGAATGGTATGTGCGGGTTTCGCGCGCAGAGACTCAAGGCAGGGGGACAGGTCGGGTGAATACACTGAGTAGCTACGTGATGTAGATCCTTTGCCAGTCGCCTAAGCCACTTAAAGGAGACGGAAAAGGGTGATGGATTGAAAGGAGGGAAACAAGAAAAGAGTAACAGCAAGAAAAATGTTAATACCAGCTTTTGTATTTACGCTGAATTCCAGAGGGATATAGGGATGGGATACGATATGGAAAAAAATGTCCAGAGAAAAACAAAGGAAATTTAAGCAATTACTAAAACTCGGCTCGGCTCGGCTGGTGTCCTACACGATGAGCCAAAAATTTTTTGTATGGACGACGGGTAAGGTTGCCCGTGCAGCCCAGTGCTACAGATATGGCGAGGGCTATTGAAACTTAAAAGAAGGGAGAGGTCAGGGAATGGCCCCAACTCATCTACAATTTAAATTTGTCAAATTCAGCCCCCCAATGTGCGTGGCAGCCAAGTACGGCCCCGTGAAAATTTTTGACGGTAAACATGGATAACTCCGGAACCAGGGAAGCTGGGAGGCTGAAACTTTCAGGAAATGTTCTCATCACATCTACAACTTGAATTTATCAAATTCAGCCCCCCGTTATGCGTGGTGGCTACACACGGACACGTGAAATTTTTGGGCTGCAATTTGGGTAACTCGGGAACCTTCTGAGTGTTATCCAGGGGCGTGTTTGAGCAACGCGGATGAAGAAAGCACTCACGTTCTGATACAGGGTGTTTTTGATAATAAAATTAGAAGTCGGTGAAGTTTTATGTGCGGGTGTATGAGATGCATTATTAGGGTGCCTTGTGTACTTTATAAAGTATATGTATCATTTTATTTTGTTATATCTATGCACTAATAATTCAAATTTAACTTAACATAACATTTGAATTTGTCAATCCTGTGCCCAAAGTATTTTCGCGCCAGTAGGACAGCATCTGCTGGTCTTAGTGAATTGAAGAGAAAAAGAATTTGAAGCGGGGAAGTTTTATGTGCGGGTGCATGAGATGCATTATTAGGGCGCCTTGTGTAGTTTATATGTATCATTTTATATTGTGTGTTTGCTTCATTTGCAACTGGAACAGAAGTCGCTCTCCAAAAATTTCCTGGGGTCAAGGCGTCGTAAATCTTCTTCTCACCCTTCCTCACGCTCACTTTTGGAGCCCGGTTCTAAAGCCCCATTTTCCCTCCAATAATTAGATTTCCTTTGTCCAAACTACTCGGATGACCCCGTAACCCTCT